ATTATTATTATTATTATTATTATTATTATTATTATTATTATTATTATGTTATTGTTAGCCTTCTGCAAAGTTTGCTTTTGGAAAAATACATGTTGCAAAGCAGCTGGAAAAGCAAAGCATCCTTGCTTCTAACACCTCGAGGAAGTTCAGCAATTTTATCCTTAACCACAAGATTAGAATTTTACACATACATAATAGATTTTCGGGGCCTCCCCCCTTCCACACCAGATCTCAAAAATCCAGGAGGTCTCTGAGTCAGTTTTCCTTTTTTTTCCTCTTCAAGGAAAACACGTAGCGTGTGAAAACACAGCTACGCTTGTCCAGTGGAAGTCAAAATGACGCTCAGAAATGCAGAAAAATAAAAACACGAAAAGCTAAGGCCAAAGGTTTCCCCGAGCATGTGCAGAGTGCCTATTCCGCAGCTCGGTGGTGGGGCTATATTTTAGGAGAGGCAGGCAAGAAATGGTGCACCTGTGTTCAGATTTAAGTCAGACTGAGTGACTGGTCATTTCCAAAGTACCCCAAAAACAAAAGAGACCAACTCTAACCTATCCACCTTGCTCCCTCCCTCCCTCCCTCCCTCTGGAGAAGTCAGGATAGCCTCGAGTTCGAAATCTGCCAGCCCAAACAAACGCACCTGTTGGTGGCTAACTTTTGGAGCCCCCCCCCCACCTCTGCCATCACCCCCCATTAACAAGTTTGCCAGGTGAACTCAAGAGAGGGAGGAGAAAAACCGAGGTCACAAATGGAGCGAGGGAGCAAGCAAGAGGAGGGAGGGGCGGAAAGGCAAAGGAGGAAGAAAGATTGTAAAATCAATTAAACGAGTGGCTAAGCCAGCCTGGTGTCGGCAGTCTGTTGCGGAGAGGAAAATATGAGCTGCCCCCAAAGCCTCTCCTGTCATCCACACCTCCGCCAAGGGTCTTTCACCTTCCTTCCATCATCCTGTCTGTCTGCTGTCAGGGGGACGAAGGGAGAACTGGTGTGGGGGGGGGGAGGGAGATGGACATTTGGGCACCTGGTGGGCTAAGATCACCCACCACCACCAGAGAGGCTGGTAAGAGGACAAGGAAGGGAGGGCGAGCCAGAAAATGGGGGGCGGCGGGAGACAACCTGTGCCAGGATGCCGAGCAGAGATTCCCTGTGTGTGGGGGGGACATGAAGAGCTGGGAGGAGGAGGGGGGCTGGAATTGGAAATGGGGGGGGGACGTTAAGCCAGTTGGAGGAAGCAAAGGCCACCTGTTCCTGGATATGGGGTGGGGGGGTCTTTCCACCTTTCCCGGATAGAAGGAGAAATGGGGGGGGCTTCTACTCTGTACTCTTAACACAGGAGACCCCAATTTTGGGACCCCTTCCTCAGCCTCGGGGAGCTCTCTTTGGGAGTCTGGAGAAAGGAGACTGGCGTGGTGGGGGGGGATCAGGGAAGCTGCCCCCCCCCAACCCGGCCAAAGACTTTGCAGCTTCCCTCTCCTCCTGGCTGTCACTGTCACATCCGTGACCCTCGTTCCCCTTCTCTGCCGCTCTCTCGGGGTTAGGGTCCCCATCCGCCAAGCCTTCTTCCCCGGTGTTGACCAACCGGATCCTCCCCCCCCCCACCCCAGGATCTCTCCGCGGCAGGAATTTGTGCCCCCAGCAGCAGCAGCTTGTGGCTCCCTCCCTCCTTTTATTCTTCTGTTTCTCTCCCTCCTTGTTTCTTCCGTCTTTCTTTTCTCCCTTCCATCCTTCCCCCCTCTCCCCTTCCTTCCCCCCTCCTTCCTTCCTTTTTCTCCTGCTTTCCTCTCTCCTTCCTTACTCCCTTCCTCCTTCCTTCCTTCCCCACTCGCTTCCTCCTTCCTCTCTCCTTCCATCCATCCTCCTCTCCGCCCGCTCTCCTCCCCGCTCGCTCTCCTCCCCGCTCCCTCCTCCGCAGCCCCTTTTCCGCATTCATTTATCCCCTTGCTGGCTCCTCCGGCCCCTTTTTTTCTCCACCTGCCTTTCTCTATTCCTCCCCCTTCCGCGCTCCTCCTCTCCTTCCTTCCTTCCTTCCTCCCTCCCTCCCTCCCTCCTCCGGGCTTATTCCTTCTCTCTCCCCTCCCGCAAGCCCCCGCTTTTCCCAGACGACCCCGGCCCGGCTGCCTGGCTGGCAAGAGGGGCTGTCGGGGTGGGCACAGCCAGGCAAGCCTGTGCGGGGTCTGCGCTGCTATTGCCGCCGGCTTCTCTGGCCGCCCTCCTCCTCCTCTTCCTGGCTGCTCTCGCTCTGCCCATCCCTCTATTCCTCCTCCTCCTCCTCCTCCTCCTCCTTCCCTCTATTCCTCCTCCTCCTCCTCTCCACCGCCTGCGCTCTAGCTAGCTGCCTTGGCTTTGCCTTGGCTGGCTGGCAGGGCTTGGAAGGATAGGAAATCGATGCCACTTACACCTCCGCTGGAAGAGAGCGGGGAGCAGCAGGCGCCGCTGACGTTCCTGGCCGCCGGGGTGGGCGGTGGGCTTCTCTCGCAAGGCGGGGTGGGCTTTTAAGAGGAGGGGGCGCCAAAAGGCTCGGCTGGCTCGCTCTGCGCAGCTCCGGGGGGCTCGGCTGGCTCCCTTTTCTCTCCCCGCCGCCAATTCCTTGGCTCGCCTCGGCTTCAGGCAGGCAAAAATCGATGGGGTTCGCCGCGCCGGGGCTTCCCCATTGATTTACACTCGTCCGCCTCCCAGCCTGCCTCGTTCCCTCGCTCCGCGGAACCTGGCGGCTGCCTTCCAACACAATGGAATAATCAATTCAGCCCTCCGCCTCTCCCTCCCTCCCTCCTTCCCTGCTCCTCCTTCCCTCCCTCCCTTCCTCCTGTACATACGCGCGCACATACACAGACACACACACACACAGACACACACATACAGACAGAGACTGAGAAGCGCGCCCCCGCGCTCCCAGCTGCGCGCACACCCGGCCAAGAGGGAGGAGGCGTGGGGGGGGGGGGGGGGAGCCACCCCCCGGCAGGGGCGCTCTTTAGGCAGGATGGGAAATGAAGTCCGAGGAGGAGGCTGAGAGTCGGGCCCATTATCATCATCATCATCATCATCATCATCATCACCAATTGCAAGGAACCGGTGAATTAAATCGACGGCAGGGAGTCCTCAATCTACAGCCGTTTATTTAGGGATGAAGTCATTGATTACAGTTAGAAATAAATGGAGATTAGTGAAATCTATCTATCTATCTAAAAGCGAAATGCCACTCTGGCATCATCACAACATCTCCAGAACCATCAAGCCTACAAACTTGAAATTTGGCACATATGTTCCTCTTGGCTTCTAGGGGCTCCCTAAGAAATGATTTTTCGAAATGACAC